TAACAGGGTTGTTTATAAGATGACATCATCAGCCTGCACGCTCCTGCAGTCAGTAACTATGCGGACGCCTCCCCAATACACACAGCGACCTCAGGCTACGTTGGGCTCCTGTGTTTATATTTGCATAGGCGTTGCTTTCAAAGCTGGGGAACCACCATCGTTAGCGAATTCATTAAGGAGAAAGGCAGGCCCTTGTCAAGTATAATGACGATGCTGTTTGAACTTGGATCTTCTTGGTTGACGATCATTGTCGCTGCTGAGCTTGAATTTCGTGCGCACTAATGTATGAACCAGGGGCAGGTCTGCTTCAGGGAAGACGTGCTTCAGTGAAGACACCCTCGCAGGTCTGAGCTCAGAGAACCCAGCCAAGTGGGGAAGGAGCCCTTCTGTGGCAGAGCAGGTGTTTGGAGTCTTTTTCAAACGAACGTTTAGCCCAACTGTGGTCCCAACTGTGGTCCTGAATGGTCTTATCTAGGCTTTCACAACATCCCCCGAAATAGCAGACCGACAGGTAACCCTTCCTGAGGACATATCCTCCGTTCCACATGGGGATTTCTCCTCTAGCTTTCATTCCCAGCGTTCAGATCTGCTTATGTGTTTATATCAAAACCACTCTTTGGCTGATGACGATTTCTAAACACTTCCTCTTCATTCCAGTCACGTATTGTCATAGTCTATCGATACTGTTTATATAAAGGGTCCTTGTGGAAGGCCGGGAACATGCTTTTATTCTTTCATGGGTGCTTTGATCTATTGACTGTTATTACGGATGTTCTCTGGGACCCCTTCAGGAGGGCACGGGAGCCGCATGGGCGGCTCCGCCTCACGACCTCATCACCCCGAAGCCACCACACTGTCTTCCCAGCCCACCTCACGCCATGCCTGCTGGGCTGGTGACCAGGGGGAAGCCGGGGGGGGGGCCCGAGACCCTTCAGTCTCCCCACACGTGGCGTTTTCCCCGCTGTTCTGAAGATGTCAAATGAAAACAAAGAGGTTGGGCAGGACTTACTTTTTCCAAAATTACTCTTTATTTATTCATGCTCCTAAATGAATGCAATGGCCTCGATCAGAGCGGGTGTAATTGAGCTGCGGCGAAATACGAAGACCAGAGGACCAGCTCCCCACTGACACCCGGGACAAGCAGGGCTCACTAGGTAAAGAGATGCTCCCCTTAGTGAATATGCATCTTAGAAAGAGCACACGCCATTTCAGTGGATAGTTATAGCTATAGAAACGCCTGTTGAAAAGATATTTAGATGGCTTTTTTTCCTGCCCAGATATCAGACTCTATTTCTCCATAAGATTAAGGAAAACAGGGCATCTCTTAGGTAACACGTTGCTAATCGAATCTGATTTGTCCCTAGTTTGAACTGAAGAAAAGCTCCATTTTTTTTTTTTCTGAAATAAAATACGGTTTGTCATGTAGGGTTTTCCCTATTTTTCAATAAGCCTTTTCAGCGCCAACCCAATAAAAGATCCATATCATTATCTTTACAATGGAAGAACTGCTGTTGCAGAATCCCAGGGTGGGTTTTCTGTTTAATCAACAAATTTAATGTAATTACAGCTGCAGGGATGAACATGTCCTTTTGTCTCCTTCAGAATAATTCTGTTTTAGGAACAGCTACTTTCTCAAAATAGTTTTTTGTTTTTGTTTTTTACCTCGCTTTTGGGCCAAATTCCGTTCGTTCAGAACCATCCTTTAGTTCTTTAAGTAATTGTGCCCTGCTTTTCATCATTTGGAGCGTGTTCGTTTAATGGTTAAGTGCTTTTATAAACTCAGTCTCTTTTCATCATTTAAAACATCGTTATTAACACTTTGTTCTAATTCACGCCTGTGGGGGAAAATAAGGTCTGGTTCCTTCAGGCGGCGATAATTTATACACAGCGGGGTTCTAAGTGGCTATCATCAGACTCGGATTTTCCAGCCTTCTTCCCTGGGCTGCTGGTGTTTCAGACCCCTGGCCTAACCACGCCGCCCGCCGCGGCCCATTTCGAGGTATTGTGCATGATACAAGGCTGCCCTGTGCTAAGCAAAAGCATTCGGCAATTCAGAAATACATACAGATATAAATCATGATTCATGGACTTTTACCGTCTTGGGCTTCGCTGGAGTATAAAAGTCCCGGACATGGACGAACGCCCTCTCCCCAAAGCGCAGAAAACCGGCCCCACGCTCCTGGCCGGGCTGCCCCCACCCATGCCCCGCCAGGCCGCCGGCTGTCTGTCTGCGGATGCGAATGGGACGCGCCTGGGACCGTCGAGTAACATCTCCACCGCGTCCCCTGCCTCCTGGGTAACGGTGAATGTCCTTCTCGGGCAACAGCGCCCTCCACGTCTGAGCCCTGCCCTTCCTGAGACGCTCTCCTCCTCATCGTGGGAGTATCGCGAGGAGAAGCAAACACACCAGCAAGACACAGGGCAGACCCTCGCAGGGTGGCTATGATCTCAGCCGTTTCCTCGACGAGCGCAGAAAAGACAACGTGTGGGGGAATCATAGCAGGTCCCCCGAGTGATTCTCTGACTCCTTGCTGTGTCTATATATCTATATATATATATATTTTTTTTTCCTACATGTACAAGAAAAGTAAAATCACAGCCGAACAAAACCTATTTAGAGAGACTCCGACGTACTCTGAACACGCGATAAGCACCCCCGTGGCCCCAAGGAGGTCTCTGAAAAACTGGAATTTCAGGGAAAGTTGGAGACGCACACAGAGCCTGACTCTGGCTCCATTTCCACGTCTCTTTGAATCGTATTTCTCGGGGCGCCTGTACCTCCTCTTTTCTATCCCTGCCATTTTCGACTTTCATCTGGGAGACAAAAACTCACTGCGGCGTGGTGGGCGAGCTAAGCGATGTATTTTTAAATGACCTCTGGGAATCCCCAGCGCCCATTCCTCATGGCATAAATCCGACGTGACCTTGTGAGCCCGCCCCACGGAGAGCTGTGTTCAGACCCTCGGCAATGCAGCCGAACCTCCCGCTGTGAGTTGTTGCGCTTTGGTGCCCGCTGTGGAGGAAATGGCCACGGACCTCAGCGGCCAGGTCTTCTCCTCACAGTCTCTGTGGGTCCGGCGTCCGGGCACAGCGCCGCTGCTGCGCCTGCTGCTGTCGAGGTGCAGACCGGGGCGGGGGGCAAGGCGCGGTTTGTCGGAAGGTTCGACGGGCCGGGAAGAGCATGAAGGCCCACTCAGGGCCTGTGCGTGGATTCAGTTCCTTGCAGGCTTGTGCCCTGAGAGCGTCCCTTGTTGGTGGCTGTTGGCCGGAGGCCTTGCACCTCCTTGTCCCGGGATCCGTGAACGCGGCAAGTCACTTTGCAAAAACCCCGCACGAGGCAGTGTCCTCTAGCAGGACGGACGTCAGAGTCCTGTGTGACCTCATCCCAGAAGGGACGTGCCATCTCTTCTTTGGAGTCTGTTCCTTAAATGAACCAAGTCTCCGGGTCCAGCCCAACGCAAGGGCACGGGACCCTACCGGATGGGAATACCGGAGGGGGGCTTTCGGTCCTTGTGTAAAACCCTGTCGCTGTATTTCCTCGGCCCGAACTGAGAGCAGTAGCGCTGAAAATGACTGCAGCTAACCGCTGCTGGCCCCTAACTACGCTTCCCTTATCAAAGCTAGTGCTACGGATAGAATTCTACCCCCACAAGACTGCTTACAAGGTGCCCTGGCCGGTGTGGCTCAGTGGACTGAGCGCCGGCCTGCGAACCAGAGGGTCGCCAGTTCAATTCCCGGTCAGGGCACATGCCTGAGTTGTGGGCCGGGCCCCCTGTGGGGGGCATTCAAGAGGCAACCACTCAGGGATGTTCTCTTCCTCTCTCCCTCCGTCCCGGCCTCTCTCGAAAGAAGCAAAGAAAGAAGGAAAGAAAGAAAGTCTTTAAAAAAAAAAATGACACCTTTACAAAAAACCAGTCATTCCTAACAAGGCATTGTTATGGCTGTTCCCAGGGGCTTGAGAATCATCTCTGTGGTTGAGTGGGGGCGAGGAATTGTACCTTCAACCGAGTCAACGTCGATTCTCAATTGCACGTGTCGTTCTCCGACCCGCGTTAAACCGGATGCCACCTTCCTGGGGCCCGCGGTCCCGTGAGGAAGGACGGCTGCCTTTCCATCTTCCGTCCCCCGAGGTTGCAGCTGTTATTTGCCTCCGGGCCTGGGCACACACCCGTGACTCTCAGCGTCAGAGAGTGGGTTGAGAGGGGAGCAGGTGTTCCTGCGGAGCCCAGGCTCCCAGAGGCCGCGGGGCCGGCCCCTGTCGTCCCCAGCTGGCTGCATGCATAGCTCCGGCAGCCCTGTGCCTCCACAGCCGAGGCACGAGGACGGCTGCCCCCTCATCCTGAGCTGGCGATGTCTACGGGCGGCATCGCAGAGGGCGTCGCGGCCAGGGTGCCCACGCGCCGTCCTCCAAAAGGAACGGAAGGGGGTTGCTCTGCTGGGCGTGTGTTCTGGTGGAGGCCACACAAGGCTCGCGGGGTCCTGTCCTGTGATCACTGGCTCTGAGCCCTTAGGCACACCCAGGGCACCGCCTGCTCCTTGCCATCGAAGGATTTCCCCGTGTGTCTATGTTTGTCTTTAAAAAGCTACTCGGCAGAGTCTGCCAGGTAATTTTAGAAAGAAAGTCACGCTGAAAATGGGATCTTCATGCAAGGGTTGGCCGTCTAGGGCTCCGGCAGGGAATGCTGAGCTGATGACAGAGCCCACCTTCTGCGAAGGGACAGCGAGGGGTGGCTGCATCGCCTCATTCCGGGCAGAACCTACGTTTTGGTCCGGGGTGTGAACCAAGCAGCATCCGTGTCCAAGCAGAAGGGAAGATTTGCTTTGGAAACAAACTCCTCGGAAAGAGACGATAAGGCGTTTCGCACAGTGACGTCTCTGTGGCCGGTGGGGACGGGCTGCCTCGTCTGAAATGTCTGCGAGCAGGGGGGAAGGTTCTAGAGGAGGAGGAGAACAGGCCACCCCACACCAGCGCCCTTCACCTCTCCCTTGGTGCTTTGCAGGAAAATGAAGAGCCTTTTGCTGCCGCTGTTATTCCTGTGCGCGGCTCAGAGCCAGGTGCCACCGAAGCCCAACTTTGTCCTCATCATGGCAGACGACCTGGGCATCGGCGACCTTGGCTGCTACGGAAACAAGACCCTCAGGTAGGGCCCACGGCGGGTGCGGGGGGAGCTCGTGGCTTTTTGTACAGGCAGCCGTCCCGGGGAGGGCGGACCCACGCCGGCAGAGCACAGACCGTGCGGAGCGGTGCGGAGCCCTCCCAGTCTCAGGCCGCGGTGCGCGTCCTCACGGAGACCCTCACGGATACAGGTGGGCAGGCGTGGCTGTGTGTGAACACGTGCCATCCACCGGATACACTCAGAGAGGTCCCTAGCGACATATCGGAGCACTTCCTTCCTACTGGCTGCTACTCTGCTGCGTTCATCCCCCCTGTTCTCATTTTTCCTGCCCTCTGGTTCACGCCGCGTATTTCGTGCCGTTTTCTGGGCCTCTGGCTTGGATGTGGGGGGTGTCGCGGCTGCCCTGTCCCCCTCCCCCCGCCGGCTTGCGCTCTGCGCCCTCAGACCTGCATCCTTTCCGCCCCCTCCCCGCCACGGCCGCCCAGTCCCTGGACCTCAGGAGCTGGCCGTGGTCCAGGAAGCCGGGCACGTGTCCTTTTAAAAGCCGAGAAGCCTGCAGTGACTTCCTGAGGCCAGGGGCCAACGCGCTGCTGAGAAGGGTCCCAGGGCGGCTTCGCTTGCGTAGCGCACCCCCCCTAGAAGGGAGCCCAGACGTGAGCGCTTGCTAAAACCGCGAGCCAACTAAGCCTGCGCGCAGCCCCCGGCGGCCAGCTCCTTCCTACGAGCCTGGGACCCTGGTCCTGGGCCATGCCCGGTGTTTGCTGCTGTTTGCTGGTGAATGCGCGCAGACCCATGACTCCTTCGCCCCGGGGCAGCCGCTGCCAGAGGAGAGGCTGCCGGACACTGGTCAGGGGCGTCCCCTTCGCCGAGGTGGGGAGAGGCAGCCGGGCTATGCGTAGGGCTTTCCTGCGTGGGGGCACAGAGGTGCCTCGGGGGAGGGGCCCGGGGAGCGGGGGACAGAGTGAGGCCTTCCGCCATCTCTCTGCACCTCCTCAGACAAGCTCATTTTCCAGCCTTGCCCCTGTGTCCTCACCCAGGGCTGGGGGTGCAGCGCAAGCTCAGTGCCCCGCTCAGGCATGTTGTGGGGCCCCCCCGAAGAAGGCAGACCGGGGCCTGTGAGACCTCACCCTGGGTGGTTCCTTCTCGGTGGGCGGCCCAGCGCGGTGGCCGCGCACTCCTCTGCTACCGTCTCCCCACTCCACACAGCCCCCACCGTCCGTGGGTCGTGGGGAGGCGACTCGTTCCAACCGGCCCGCGAGAAAGCGGCCTCGCGCACGCCATCACGAGCACCGTGGCCCCTTTGTCTAGGACCCCCAACGTGGACCGACTGGCCAAGGAGGGAGTCAAGCTCACCCAGCACCTGGCCGCCTCCCCGCTGTGCACGCCGAGCAGGGCGGCCTTCATGACGGGCCGGTACCCCATCCGATCAGGTGACCGCCGCGCCCCGGGCCTTCCTGCTCCTCCTCCCCCTCCTCGTCCTCCCCCTCCGCGGGCAGCCTCCGGCGCCTGTCCCACGGCACCGGCCCTAACGTTGCTCCCCCCTGCTTCAGGGATGGCGTCTCAGACCCGCGTGGGAGTTTTCCTCTTCTCGGCCTCTTCCGGGGGCCTTCCCGGGAGCGAGGTGACGTTCGCCAAACTTCTGAAGAGCCAAGGCTACGCGACAGCTCTGATAGGTGGGCCAAGCTGCGGGGTGGGGGGAGGTGGGGCCTGGGCGGGCCAAGCGGGGTGGGCGAGGGGGCGCAGCCTTTCAGGGTTGACGTGGCCGAGGCCGTGCGCGCAAGTTTAAATAGGAGCGAAATGATGGCTGTTGTAAATGATATCCCAGCGCTCCCACCTGGGCTCCTGGAGCGCATAGGCATGTGTCATTGTGTACATGTGCGTTTATGCGTGTATGTTGGTGGAGACGCATGGGTGAACAGATGGCTACGTGGAAGACAGGTAGAGGGATAGGGGACAGGTAATGACAGGCACCCAGAAAATGGATGGACACATGGACGTGTGGGCAGATGGAGAGAGAGACGATGCGGGTGACAGAGAGAGACAAGGACATATAGATTAAGAGGTGAGGTGGATGGTGGATGGATGAATGGATGGAAGGATGGACAAACAGGGACATGGGAAGATAGATAAACAATAGGCACAGGGAGGAAGAGATCGGTGAAGAGAGGCAATGGATGATAGGTTGATGGACGAATAAGGCAGACAGATGGGAACGATGATACATAAAGATAGGACCGTCCCATGAAGCAGGCAAAACCGCATAGACCTACCATGCTATGGATGAAGATTTTCATTTGACTTTCTAATACTAAAATATGGTCATGTGATGATTTGTGTCGGGGGATATTGCCGTGTGGATTTTATTCCCTTGGTAACAATGACGCGTCCCCACCGTTGACGGATAACCTGGGTCCATGTTACGGATCCTGCAAACTCCGCTGGGAGCAGAAGTTTACCTTTTTGGCTTCTCGCACGTGCTGCTGTAAAACCAGCACCTTTTTTTTTTTTTTTTTTTTTTTTTTTTTGTGGTGAGGCACTCCGTCATTTAGTGGTATAATTAGCATTTTATAAGAAATGTTGATAGGTATTTAAAATAATTGCTGAGTTATGAGTAGGATCTCCTCATTCCCTCGGGGGGCAGTTCTATGAACAAGAATTCCTTTCCACTTTGAACATTCAAGGGACACAGTCCAGTCGGTTCCAAGACTGTCATTTTAAGGAAATGTGTTTCACAAAAAAAAAAAAAGGAACCTCTCTCAGAAGAACGTGTGTTCCTTCCCTGTAGTCCCATGTCCCGCTTGTTAACGACAGGGTCCGGCGGAGGTAAGGCTCGCTCCGTGAGGCTGGTGCGGTGCGCGGGCGTCTCGCGCAGCGCGGGCGCCATTTGAACCTCTCACCTGAAATGTCATGCAGCGTGCTGGGGGGTGATATTTGTATATTGCCGAAGGACACGCTTAGGATTCTATGATCAAAAGATTTCTATGGACTCAAAGGGGGCGTTATTGGTGCCGGAGCCCCTACGTGAGGTGTGGCCTCGTGTTTTGCTGTCGTTCTGTTTCCGGTCCCTACGTCCCTCCTTGTTTTGCAGTAGAGCGACTCGCTCATGCCCTTGGGTTTGTGCACAAGGAGGCAGACCATGCACAGGACGCCGGCTGAGCAGCAGGTGGAAAGCCCGTCCTCTCCCGGGTGTGGGCAGCCGAGGCCGCCGTGCGAGTCCGGGCGTCTCTGGGGACTGAGCGCGTGCCCCGTCTGTCTCCGCAGGGAAGTGGCACCTGGGAACGCACTGCCACAACAATAGCGACTTCTGCCACCACCCGTCCAGCCACGGCTTCGACTACTTCCACGGCATCCCCGTCACCAACCTGAGGGACTGCAAGCCGGGCCAGGGCAGCGTCTTCACCTCGGCCATCCGGAATCTGGTCTTCGTGCCCCTGCAGGTCATCGCGCTCACCCTGCTCACCCTGGCGGCCCTGCGCTGGCTGGGGCTGCTGCGCGTGCCCGGCCTCGTCTTCGCCTGCCTCCTCCTGCTGGCGGCCGCCCTCCTCGGCGCCCTGCTCTGCTTCCTGCACTACTTCCGGCCCCTCAACTGCTTCCTCCTGCGGGACCGCGACATCACCCAGCAGCCCCTGTCTTATGACAACCTGACGCAGAGGCTGACGGAGGACGCCGCCCAGTTCATCCGACGGTGGGTATCGCGGCTCGTCCTGCTCCCCCAGGGCGGGGTCAGAGCTCCTGCGCGGTCCGTCCATCCGTCCTTCCGTCCGTCCGAGGCCATGGGGGAAGTCTTCATGCGGTTCACGTTTTCTCCCTAAACCGCGTTGCAGGAAGTGAGCTCCGCTCAAGGACTGCCGCTTGAGGCGCTAGGCTGACGGGGGAAGACATGAATGACAGGGCAGCAGGCAAAGAGGCGCCGTCAGTTGGCGAAGCTCTCCCACCAGCCCAGCTGGGCCCGTGCCTGGGATTCCAGTGCATGTTTCCACGCTGAGCGGGGAAATGGTGTGGAATATACCGCCATGCACGCCACGATCCCTCACCGCCACTTCTGCCTTTTGGGTCACATTTATCTCAGGGAGATGCTTGTACTGCTAGAAAGGTATATGTTGAGCTCACCCTATGTTATAAAGTGCCTAGCAACTCAAGGGACAGGTCACCCCTCATGGCGGGAGCTCCCTGCTGCTGTTAACAGGGCGGAAGGAGCCGGAGAGACCCTAGGGAGGCCCGGCCGGCCGCCTGCAGGGCGCTGATCGCCATGGCGACGGAGGAGCGTCGTCGGGTATTCTGAAAAGACAAGGAAGGCTGTATAGGGACAGGGCATTTCGCAGGCTACTTTCATCCCCAAAGGAGTTTTGCTTTAGATTGAGCCAAGGCCACGTTTGACGCGACACAACAGCAGCAGGGAGGCGTGAGATGCTAGGCTAAGCTGCCCACGCCAAAAATGTCACGTCACCCTCAGCAGACAGCGGCGGACCTTGGTCATGCTGCTGGGCGAAGAGCTGAGCTGCACTGGCCCTTTCCGCCCTACGTCCATTGAAAGGGGTGCTGTGTTGCTGGCAAAAACGTGGATGTTGAAAGAAAGCACCCTGTTTTCCTCCGCAAAGAGACAGGCAGTCACCTGAACTGAAAAGTTCCACGAACAAGGATGGCAAGTATAGGCCGTCACGGAATTTGTACCGTTTAGGGAACCCAGTTATTGCATCCCAAAATCCGGGAAACGCACACGGTGCTGTGTGGCCCGGCCCCATTTACGTGCGCTGTGTCCACAGTCCACACGTGTGCGTGTGCATTTCACGAGGCTGCACAGAAAAGTGCCACCAACCCTGATCGTGTTCTGTGAAGCTTAATAGGGGGTATCTCTTGCATATTCAGCCCTGGGTTTTCTGGCAAACACATCCGAAACTGGGAAATGACATAGAATTCTATTTTCAGTGACTGATGTCCCAGAGGGGCAGGGTCTCCTTTCTCTGACCCTCGCAAACCTAGCCCTCTGCAAGGCCACCCAGACGCCTGGATTATGGGAAGGAGGGGTGACCGGGGTAGATAACACATCCATGGGGGGGTGACGCCCCCGGTGCAGGGTCACGGGAAAGAGACCCCCTAACCACGTTCGATGGTCTCTAGTTTTACTGTCTGTAAATGCGTCTTGCTACAAGCATTGCTTGTGCCATCCTGACGCCTGAAAGCTGTGACCGCTGCTCCGGGTGCACATCGGGAGGTGTGACCTTTTATCCTGCCCTCCTGCCTCTGCCATTGGGCACAGTCAGAGCCCTGAAAGGCGGGTGCGGGGCGCCTGCAACCGAGCCGCGTGGCTCCCCGCCGTGCCGCGGAGGAGTGGCCGTGGCGGACGCTGTGATTGGGCACAGAGCATCTTGTGAATAAAGGGGCCATGGAGCGACAGGGCCAGTTCCACTACGAGTTTAAGCCAGAAAGGACTAGGAGGCGTATGGATTTCAATTCACGGTGAGAAACGTACATTGGAGGAAACGTCGAGGGCAACAGCCAGGGTGACAGGTGCCCATTCCAAGGTGCAAAGGCTAATTAAAGAACTGCCTTGTTCAAGAACGGCTGGCACCGCTAGACTGGGGGATGGCCTTCGTGGGCCGGCGGGATGCGCACTGGGGGGTGGAGGGGTTCTCGGACGAGCCCCTCATTCCCGGCGGAGCAAGACGCAGCCGAGTCCAGTTACGGAGGGAGGCCTCTCTGTCACCGTAGGGAGGGGTCCATGTCCCCCGGCCTTTATCACTGAATAGGAGGAAGAGGGGGAGGAGGGGACGGAGAAGGAGGAGAACGAGGGAAGAGAAGAAGGAGGAGGAGGAGGGGAAGGGAGGGAGGAAAGAGGAGGAGCAGGAAAAAGAGGAAGCGGGGATAGGGGGAGAGACAAGAAGAATCCCTCATCCAGATTGTTGGAATTGTCCTCTAGTAAGTAAAACCAAGTGTGATTAATTGTCAGAGGCACTTTGGAAATTGATTTCCTATCACAACAATTTCAATCGTTTCTCATTTTACTGCCCCCGAAACACAGGGACCCTGTGGACCCTGTGCGTCTTTTTTTAAAACTTTCCTTGCAGGGGTCCGGTGTCTTCCACCATCCAGGTTAGGACGCTTAATGCATGAAAACAGGTAGTGATTTAAAAGCATAAGCGCCAAAGGCGTCCTCCCCTGCTGGTTCTGTGGAGGGGCGTGCGGATGAACTTGGGCACGTTAGTTCAAGTTCAGCATGGGCCTGGGGGTGGAGGGTAGTTTCAGGTGGTGTCCGTAGTGCGGCATCTTCGGCGTGTTCCGTGGTGGGCAGACGCCACACACAGTCATGCCGTGTCACGGCTCCTCAGGCAAAGCTGCCGCGGGGACGCTGCCAGAGCCCAGCGGGGGGCTCTGAGTACGGGGCCAGCATGGGGACCGGGCCCACCTGCTGTGGCGAGGAGGGCGTGGGCCAAGACCAAAATCAGGGGCACATTTCAAGTCTAGTGCGCACATTCTCGTTGCTGTCGGGAGGAGGTGGCTTTCGTCATTCCCTGCCTTCGAGATACTTCTTCCTTTTCCTATGGTCAGGAAAGTAACATGTGCTGCTCTAAAAAGTGAAAGCAGTATCCGCTGCGCTCATCCTGGGAGCACAGAGATGTAAGTGGCCTGGCCCAGCTCACGGTCTAGTGAGAGAGGGAATGCGCGCTCCCGGTGACGGGGTAGAGCGGCGAGTGTTGTGTTACACGTTGCATTCATCGACCCATCCAGCCATCTACTCATCTGCCCGTGCAACCATGCACCCATCCGTCCATCCATCCACCCATCTGCCCATCCATCCATTCATCCTCCATCCATTTATCCATATACCTACCCATCCACCCATCCATTCATCTATGACCCCATCCTCTATCCATTTATCCATATGCCCACCCATCCACGCACACTTCCTTCCATCCATCCACCCTTCCATCCTTCCACCCGTGCACCCATCCATCCCTTCCTGGGTGCACTCCTTCCGTTGGCAATATTATCGAGCACGTTGCGCAGGGCAGGCAGTGAGCTGTGCGTGTGCAGGTCACCTTTGGGACCAGATAGATAACACATCGCGACAGCGTCTGGAGTGCGTGAGGGTGCTAGCATGAGCACAAGGCTTGGCTGGCACTAGAGTGTTTTGTAGACGATGAGCCTGCAGCCTGGAGAGGCAGGGTGTCCACCCAAGTTCAAGGAGGCACTCGAAGGAGGAGCTAGAAGCAGGGTGAGAGGGAGGCATCGGGCGTGGGGACTGAGGCAGTGGCTCCCGGTGGGGTGCGTCTCCTCTGGGCATCACGACCTCTCGGGTGCATCTCCAAGAGCAGCAGCCTGCTGCACCGCAAAGTGGGCGCATGGCCTCTGCTCCCCAAAGGCACTCGCTCCCTATTCCCTTTTAGCAGGAAAGGGATCAACAGAGCTTCCCAGGCAAAGCTGCGGATTGAGCCTGTTGTATGGAACCAAAACACAGCGTTAAGTGCGTTTCTCAGAGGCCAACCAGATGTAGAGGAGACGTGTATGACTTCCTGATCCTTTTCCGCCAAATAGGACGTCACCCCCGGGGCCCCCAGCGGAACTGAACGTCGACAGGGACTTAGAACTCTTGATCCTCTGTGTGTCCTCACCAATTCCAACCGAGTAGATTTAGGTGAACTCTGAATTAAGAAAGGCCTTTGCAATACTGTGAAACTCTCTAGATTGTAGACTTGGGCCAGTTCAAAGAAGGTTCCATTTAGCTTCCCGAGTGTCAGTGTAGACAGTTGAGTGTTAATTCCGGGACATACGTTCTATAGTAAGAGGCTGCCATGTGGTAGAACAGAGAGTTGAATTCACATTAGAAAGATGTGGATATAAAAAGTGACAACTGAAGATACTGTCTTGGCTAGGTAGTTGGGGGGGGGGGCGTGTATTCCAAAGTGAACACTCTTTTGAAGCTGTTTGAATTCCTATTAATCACCACATAGACAGGGAAGAGTAGAATTCAGGGAAAAAAGCTATCCATTCTCCACTCCTGTGTGCTGCCATGGGAAAATGTCTCTAGAACATACCTACCATCTGCTGACTGTAGACAGTGACCGTGAGTCTCTCCCTAGAGATCCTATGGAGACTTCCTTCCCCCTCAATAAAACCCTCATTGTGCAGTGTGTTCTGAACGGTCAGGTAACATCGTGCATTAAGAGTTTGATCCTGAGCAGAAGAGTAGCCAATGTGTTGATGTGGCTCTTGGATATTTTTTTCCCCCAGGAACGCAGACACACCCTTCCTGCTCATGTTTTCCAGTCTTCAGGTGCACACCGCCCTCTTTTCGTCCACGGACTTTGCCGGGAAAAGCAAACACGGCCTTTACGGGGACGCGGCTGAGGAAATGGACTGGGGCGTCGGTACGTGTGTCTTTGTCTTCGCTGTGTCCTTAAGATGCGGCTGAGTCTGTTCCTCCTTCCAGCTGATTCCTCTGGATTTCCACCTCATTCCCCATGCCTTCCTAGACAGTAACTGTCCCCCAGGGAGGGTGACCCCGAAGCCATGAGATGGTGGCCCAGGGGTAGATACATCGCCGGGGAAGTCTGGGCCTACGGGCGGGCGATCAAAGAGGTGGAAAAAGAGGCCAAAGCGGGAGTCCTCACCATCACGCATTCTAGAAACAATGAAATGTGGCCCCACGCCGTCTTCCGCACAGTCGGGGAAGTGGTGGGTTTGGGGTCGAGGGGACTCCAGGGGCACCTTGTTCTCCACACCTTCTTCCCAAGACAAAGACCCTGCTTTAGACATGGGACATTTCTTTTTCACAAGTTCTGGGGAGACTTCTTATCCAAGCTTCTTTTTTATTTTTTGAAGAGCATGTCTTGTAGGAGGAACCATGGCCAAGCTTTGATTGCCTTCTGCAGGGCTGACAGGTCTTGGGCCAAGGCTGTCGTGCCCGGGAAGGGAGAAGCTGTGGGTGAAGCCAGGGCATGGAGAACGTGTGGGCTCTCAGCTTCCCATTGAGGCCCAGGCTACTGTATAAGATGTTGTCTCCTGTCAGCATCGCTGAGTCTCCCTGGCCAAAATGGTCCACAGGTCGCTAGTCCGCCGGCCAAGGTTTTTGTATAGTGGCTTTCTTTCCCGTTCTTTGTCTCTTGCTTTGCCTTGCTGGTCTCTTTGTGTACGACATGGATTGGTCTGAAGTTTTCAATCCAGCTGTTAGAGAAGTACTTGAACATCAGCACCTTGTTTTTGTTGTTGAGGGTAGTTTTTTTAAAAATTTCTATTGCTCACTCCCTGGGTCCACTCAGTGTTATTTCCTGTCAGCTTTAGTTTCAGGCGTCAGACCGTCACGTGCTTGTTGGTTTGCTTTCCGCAGCACATGGGAGGCGGTGATGCTTCCCTGCTCCCGGGGCTGCAAGAATGAGTTTTGCTGCTGCTTTTTTTTTTCTTTTCTTTTCTTTTTTCTTTTTTTTCTTTTCTTTGCTTTGTTTGAAATTTGGAAGGAGCACTGTCCCGAGAAACAAGAACACCGGACCCGTATCCTGACTGCGACCTCTGTCGTTAGCTATCTCTGTGAACTTGAGACACGTCTTAAATCGCTCGGCTTCTGGTCCATCACCTTTTCATGAGGAATTCAGATGAGGCAAGTTCTAAGTTTGTTTGTTTGTTTGTTTGTTTTCCGTACGGCTCTGTAATTCTATACAATAACAGAAATGAGCACAGATGAGGAATTCTAGGAAAAACAAACACAGAACAGTCCCTCTAGTGAGATTTATAAAAAGAACCCATTATCCTCACAGCCTCCACCTACCAGCCTGCTTGCTTTTCTTTTTCCTTCTTCACATGTTGTGTGTTGATCAGTGGACCTTTTCTACTCCTTTGTAGTGCAAATCGAGAGAATACAGGGTAGTGTGAACCAGTGGAATAGTTTATCTCTTTAATGAGTGTGATAGTCAAATGCAACAGGCTTCTTACACAACTCCAAGAACTTGGTTGGCTGACAAGCAAGCCCCTGCTGGTATAGGCACACATATACATTGTTTTATTTAATGATTTAATTTCCTTTAATTATGACGGCACATAGGCCTACTCTGACTTATCAAAAGTCTGACTTCCAATTATTTTCATTACCGGTCCCTCTGGACTAGAACAAAGAGTATTCTTCAGCCTTTGAGATCTGCGTTTGAGCCTCATCCGAGGTTAAGAGATGAGTGGTTTTCTTTTTGTTGTTTGGTTTTTTATTTGCCGAAAAGTACAGTCCTTCCCCTAAGCCAGGATGTTATTTGTCAGGACATCTCTGCGTGTTACAAATCCAGCACACGCGAGCGTGTTGAGGTTGGCTGCTTCCCTCTAAGAAGAGCGCTTCATTATTACCCAGCCGTGGACTGTAGCGTTCTGAATAATCACGAGAGAAAAAATCAAAGGAAGGCGTGGGCTGACAAAGAGACGCACCCCGCACCAGAGGCTGCTCACGCAGCAGCACTTGGCCGGGGAGAGCCGACGTCGGTCGCTGGGCGTGCTTTCTTTCAAGCGTGGTGGCGGCACCGTTACTACAGGCAGCATGGCTTCCCCCACGGCAAGGGTCTCTGCCCCCGTAGGGGCACATTCACGCCCAAAGAAACTTGGCTACTTCATTCTCTGCCGTGGCCCATCCCGGCCCACGCTGCGGTGGCTGAGCACCTTCTCTGGGCCATGTAACTGCGCCTGTCCTAGCGCAGGCGCAGCGGAGGAGAGACGGACCGCCCGGACGTGGTGCACGCGCCCTGGGAGGGCTGTGCCGTAAAGCCAGGCAGGGACGGCCCAAACCGAGCAGCGCCTCGCCCACGGCCGCCCAGGGAGTGGGAAAGGCCGCGCGTGTCACGCTGGCGTGCGGTCGGCTCTAGACCACGCGGAGGGTGCCGGTGCTTTCACTAGTTACGTTTTTTGGGATGCGGGCAGCGAGCCTAATGTATTTTGGACGGGAGATGCAATTATGATAATACTTCAGAAGACTTCTAGCTACTAAGGGATGTAAGATTCTTCCAGGAGACCTGGAAGGGGACAGACAGGGGCAAGTGGGTGTCCCGAGGGAGGTGCAGGTCAAGTGCTTGAGCAGCCTGGGAAGGGGCAGGGTGGCGAACGGGGGGCTGGTGGCCGCTGCCCACCTCCTCGTTTCTGCAGGGCGGCCAGACCACTGAAGCCTGCGGGCGGCCACGGGTCGTTGGAAAGTCTGCTGTTCAGTCCTGTTAACTCTACACCAGTGGGGCGTTGGGAAGGCGCAGACACATGAGACCGATCTTGCCAAATGCACACCAAGGATTTGGGGGCGCGTCATTCCAGCGGAAGGACATTAACCCGAGGCTGTGAATGAGTCGGGGGCGGGCAGAGGGAGCGGGCGGACAGGGAGACGCCATTCCCGCCCGCGGTGTGGCATCCGCGGCTGGGACGTGGCCACGGGCGGGGCTCCAGCTGCCGGGAGGAGTACGAGGGCAGCCAACATCTACGGAGCACCCGTGGCAGGGATGGGACCCGGGAAGGAACCTCCGTCGGAGCAGGATCGGGGTTAGACCGGCGCGTTCTGTGTCCTCCCACAAGAAACGCACGTCGTGGACGATAAGGCAAGAGCGGTGAGAGGGAACTGTGCTTCGGGCCTAACCTCCCGGCCGTACGAAGGGAACTTCCTGCCACTCTCGGTTTCGGGTCCAGTGGCTCCGGGAGGCGGGTGCGGTTCTTGCTTTCCAGCAAACACTGTGAGCGTGGACTTTTCGTCTCCCCCAATGTGAGACCAGACCGCCCCGAGCCTGTTCTCTGTATCTGTGAGTCGGTTTCTGGTTTCTTCGTGTGTTTACGTTGTTCTGTAGCATCCACATAGAAGCCAAATCAGATTATATTGAGTCCTAAAAAGGCCAGACATTTTTCTTTTTTCATTAAACCAAGAAAAAGCCTTGGTTGTCATTTATCAGGTGGGCTCAGCACATCTCCCGCAGCCCCATACGCCCAGCGTGCGTGACGTGACAGAGTTACAGCGGTGTGGCATCCGCGGTGGCCGAATCTCGCACGTGCTTGCCGCTGCTAACGCAACACTGAATTTAGCTTCACCACATGTATTTGAAAACCATTCACAGTGGTTCTTATTTTACAACGGAATTATTAGCGCTCAAGCCCCAAACAGGATTTTATTCTCACCCTGGTGCTTTTCTTCATGGAAATTTCTGAAGGGGATTTTTTGACTACGTTGCCTGGAAGAGAAACAGAGAGAGAGAGAGAGAGTCAGGCTCCATGTTCACGTGTCATTGGCTCAGAATGATGGATATCGGCTTTGGTCGGTCAGCCCCCTCCACGGCTGGGGGCCTCTCAGAAGCAGAGGGACGTGCATTTTGTTGGCCTGACACTGTACCTCGTGTCTGGGCAGCGGGCATCAGGCCAGGTCCTTTCTGCAAGGTCTCCGAGGACTTCACAAGAAAGAAGCCCCTCAAGCCCCCTTTTACCCAGAGGGCTGTGCCCCAGTGACCCCATCCGGGTGACCGGCACAGGTCTTCCTCCATGAGTGGCCCATGGTGATCAGATCTCACATGCGTGGCCACCAACGGACCTGCGTGGGGGCAGGGAGGGCGGCTCGGATCAGTCACGCTTCTTCCGGCAAGTTGGGTCCCTTCGCAGAGACAGTTAGGACGGGGCAGGGGGCCGGAACTGGCGTGTGGCCCCGTGCTGCCCGACGCTTCAGACACCAGTGCTAAGGCCGTGCTGATCTGTACTTTGAGAAGAGGGGGACGGAATAAGGGGTCGTCGGGAGACGTTTATCCCACGCTCTATTAATCGCGAGGGAGCAGTTGGCAGGCTGAGCTCTTTCTTCCACCCAGCAATCCCCTGTCGTCGTTCACAGGTATTACAGTACGGACTCTGTTCCCCTTCCGCTCTTGACCCATCCCCCATCCCGTCCTCTCTGGTAACCATCCCTCTGGTTGTGGTTCCTGAGAATTTGTTTTGTTGTGTTTGTGTGTTTGTTTTAGGTTCCACAGATACATGAAACCATTTGGTGTCTGTGTTTGTGCGCCCTCCTTCGCTTAGCACAATACCCTCCCGGACCATCCACATGGCCCCAAATGGCACCGTTTCACTCTTTTCGATCCCTGCACGACATTCTGTTTTATTCACGCACCGCGTCTCTAGCCACTCATCTACGGAGGGACACCTCGGTGTCTCCCAGGTCTTGGCTATGGTGACTAATGCTTCCGGGAACATAGGGCTGCCAATGTCTTTCATTTTCTTCAACTAAATACTCGGAAGCGGACTTGCTGGGTCGTGTGGTAGATCTAGTTTTAGCTTTTTCAGGAATCTCCATACTGCTTGGGAAGATGTCTTTGAGGACAGGACTCTACGAGTTATTTTATTTGCTCCCAAGCAGCACGAACAAAGTCAGGTGGGGCTGTGAAGTAGC